CCAAATCAGCAGGTGCCTTGATCTTGGACTTCTCAATCTCCATAACTCTGAGAAATAAATGTCCGTTGTTCATAAGCCACCCATTTTTATGATATTTTGTTATAGCAGCCTGAACAGACTAAGACAGTCTAAAAACACGTTTGTTTGTCCAAACTTGGGGTAGGAAGGAGTCATGGGGAGAGAATGGCATCTGGTGTTTAGAGCTCCGAGATCAATATTCTACAGTGCACAGCACAGCCTCCCATGACAGAGAATCATCCAGCACCAAATGACAAGGGGAGGGAAAGAAACCCTGGACTATGGGTTTGAGGGAGCCCAGTTCAGGCTGGGAAGTGTATACCCCAAACTAATTTCACGAAATGCATGATATGGGCAATTCAATTGGAGCAGGTCATCAAAGCCCTATTAGTCGAGGGTTCTCTGTCTCTGTCTCCTTACAAGGAGGATGATGGGTTCATGTAACATTTGTGTCATTAAAAATTACTTTTTGTAGGGCCGGCCCGGTGGCTCACTGCTACAGTGCGCCGCTTGGGAAGCGCGGCGGCGCTCCCGCCGAGGGTTCGGATCCCACATACAGACCAGCCGCTCACTGGCTGAGCAAGGAGTGGGGGCAACACCGAGGGTTGCGATCCCGTTGCCGGTCCCGGTCCGGTACGGGCGCGACACTGAGGGTTGCGATCCATTGTCGGTCACGACAAAAAAAAAAAAAATTACTTTTTGTAAAAAAAGAAACACAATAGTAGCAAATGTATATAACCAACCAAAGAAACAAAACCTTTCTTTGATCCGACCTCTCCTTCCTGACACCCTCTCTCCCTCTCCTTTCACGTCACACACAGAGGTCTCCCTGAGTTATGTGCTGACTTCTCTGCACTTCCTCACCTCTTCACTCTCTCACCTCCCCCATGGAAATGTGGCTTCCCCACTCAGCCCCCTTGGTCCAGCCCACACACAGGCCACCAGTGGCCTCTGGATTGTTATTAAATCCAGTGGGCTTGTTTGTTTTTTTAGTCATACTTGACCTGCTTTTGAGACCACAGGGAAGGGGACTGTGCATCCTCCCTGGGCTTTTAGGACACACCTCTCTCCTACTCCTCCTTCTCTTTTTTCTGGCTGCTACCAGGAACTTGTCCGGAGTTCCTTTCCCTCTTATCTCTCAATTGTTGTAGTTCATTTTCAGATGTTTTGTCCCAGACCTCTGCCCTTCCTGCACTTTAATCCTGAATCAGCTACATAAACTGCGAGGTCTAGTACAAATGACAGTGTGGGGCCTGTTGTTCAAAATGATGAAGAATTTCAAGTTGGTGACAGCTGAGCATTAAACCAAGTGCTAGGCCCTTCTAAGCACAGTGTCCTGGGAACTGCTGGCCCTGTTTTGGTCCCCACCATGCCCCTGCACCTGACCTATGAGGGTCACTCTGGCAGGCAGAATGCCCCTTTCACAAAATATGTCTATTCACTAATCCCTGGAACCTGTGAATATGATGTATCATATGGCAAAGGGAGTTTGCAGATGCAATTAAGGTTACAGATCTTAGGTTAGAGAGATTATCCTGGTGTGATGATTAGTTTTATGTGTCCACTAGGCTAGGCTCTAGTTCCCTTATTCAATCAAACAGTCTGGGTGTTGCTGTGGAGGCGTTTGTATAGATGTGGTTAATATCTACAATTCCTTGACTCTAATAAAGGAGATTACCCTTGATAATGTGGATGGATCTCACCCAATATGTTCAAAGGCCTTAGGAAAAAAATGAAGGCTTCCCTGAGGAAAATGAAATTCTGTCTTCAAACTGCAGTATCAGCTCCTGCATCATTTTCCAGCCTGCCCTACGGATTCCAGGCCTGCCAGCCCCATAGTCATGAAATTCAATTCCTTGATATAAATCTCTTTATCTATATCTTAATATATCTCAATATTATTAATATATTACTAACATATGTCCTGCCAGCCCCGTAGTCATCTAATTCAATTCCTTGATATAAATCTCTTTATATATATCTTAATGTATCTTAATAACATATATTAATAATTAATATTAATATATTATTAATGTAGCACTGATACAACATGGACAAATCTTGAAAACACGCAAAGTGCAATAAGCCAGATACATAAGGCTGTACAACGTATGATTCCATTACATGAAATGTCTAGAATACATAAATCCATGGAATCAGAAAACATATTAGTGGTTTCCAGGGGCTGGGAAGAGCAAGGAATGAGGGGCGACTGTTCAATGGGATTTCCCGTCAGAGTGATGAAAATGTCTTGGAATTAGAGAGAGGTAGTGGCTGCACAAAAATGTTATGTCATCCATGTTGTTGCAAATGGCAGTATTTCATTAGTTTTTATAGCTGAGTAGTATTCCATTGTGTAGATATACCACATTTTCCGTATCCACTCATCCGATGATGGACATTTGGGCTGATTCCAGCTCTTGGCTATTGTGAAGAGTGCTGCAATGAAGATTGGGAAACAGGTATACCGTCGACTTGATGATTTCCATTCCTTTGGATATATTCCCAGCAGTGGGATAGCTGGGTCATATGGTAGATCTATCTGCAACTGTTTGAGGAACCTCCAAACCATTTTCCATAGGGGTTGCACCATTATGCATTCCCACCAACAATGTAAGAGAGTTCCTTTTTCTCCGCAACCACGCCAGCATTTATCTTTCAGCATCTTTTGGATTTTGGCCATCCTAACTGGGGTGAGATGGTATCTCAGTGTGGTTTTGATTTGCATTTCCCGGATGCTGAGTGATGTTGAGCATTTTTTCATATGACTGTTGGCCATTTGCATATCTTCTTTAGAGAAATGCCTACTTAGCTCTTTTGCCCATTTTTTAATTGGGTTGCTTGTTTTTTTCTTGTAAAGTTGTTTGAGTTCTTTATATATTCTGGATATTAGTCCTTTGTCAGACATGTATTTTGCAAATATTTTCTCCCACTCTGTTGGCTGTCTTTTAGCTCTGTTAATTGTTTCTTTTGCTGTGCAGAAACTTTTCAGTTTGATATAGTCCCATTTGTTTATTTTTCCTTTGGTTGCCCATGCTTTTGGGGTCATATTCATGAAGTCTGTGCCCAGCCCTATTTGCTGAAGGGTTTCTCCTATATTTTCTTTAATAAGTTTTATTGTTTCAGGGTGTATATTTAAATCCTTAATCCATTTTGAGTTGATTTTAGTAAATGGTGAGAGATGTGGGTCTAGTTTCAATCTCCTGCAAATGGATAACCAGTTATCCCAGCACCCTTTGCTGAAGAGGGAGTCCCGACCCCAGTGAATAGGCTTAATGCCTTTGTCGAAGATCAAATGGCTTATGTCAAATGCCACTGAACGGCACACTCTAAAATAATCATTTTGTTATGTGAATTTTACATCCATCAATAAAAATACTTAATAAAAACCTATAATTTAGATGTATTATTTACCTTGGTTACAGAGATTTTGGTGACACCCCAGCCCTCCTTACATTTTGCTGTGGATGCTGTGTCCGGCCTGCCCCAGTCAAATCCCCACATGGATCCTGGGAAAATTTTCTAACCCCTGGATCTACCCTGTCCTTCCTCTGCAGGTCCCCCACAGCGTCCAGGACACAGTCTAAGCTCCCTGTCTTTCACGCTGCCCGCTCCAGGCAAACCAAACTCTGCCCACGTCTGTGTCCGGGTGTCCTCTGCTTCACCTGGCCTCCTGCCTCCCTCCTCCTCTCCTGGGACCCATAAACTCCCACTCATCCTTCAAGATCCAGTTCAAGGGCACTTCCTTGTTATTTCTTAGGCTGACTCTCCCAGCCCTACCATCCCAGCCTCAGCTCAGAGGAGAAGCACTGACCCCGCCTGCCACGGAGCCTGCCTCCTCCCTGAAGTCTCTGCTCTGCTAATGTGTCTCACACTGGTCCTGAAGGGATCTTCCTAACACTCAAGTCTGACTCGCTTCTTTTCACCAATAGACACAGGTGCTCACAGTGATGTAATGACCTGTCTACGGAGTGGTGGCTTCAGGCAGGGACATTCACCCTGGGCAATCGCAAAAGCAGAACCAGAACTGTTCCTCTCAGACCACCTTCCTCGGCTTCCTGTACTCACTGTCTGACCTTGTCTGTTTCTCTCTCTCTCTCCTCTCTCTCTTTCACTCTTCCCACACACTCCCCCAACAGCTGCAATCTGGAAGAAATTACTCTTCTAAACAGCCAGACTTCCCCAGTTTCAGGAAATTCCAAGCTAGGCGGGGGGAGGGGCCGGGCGGGGGAGCTCCTGTCCGTCCCGCACCCCCCTGCGATTTCTCTGTGCACACCCAGTCCCAGCCTCCTCCCGGCCCTGCACTCGGCCCAGAGGGGCCTCAGCTTTTCCGCCACGGCCTTCTAGTCCTTTAAATCCTAGAGGCAAACTTTTGGGGGATAAGGAAGACTGGGAGGGGCCTGCGCTTAACCCTCTCTGCTGGAGGACTAAGAACTGAGCCGGAGCGGGCAGTCACTTTGCTCCTGCTCAGGGTCCTTACCATGGCCCTCGAGAGGGGCTGACACTATAGTTCCCGGTGCAGGTAAAGAAGGGGCCTGATTCCAGGGCCTGCCAGGAGTGGGGATCTGAATCCTGGATTTAAAGGAGGAAGGGGCGGGGGGCCCGCAATCCTGGGTCTGAGGGAGGAGGGCCTGGGGATTCGGACTCCTGGGTCTGAGGGAGGAGGGCCTGGGGATTCGGACTCCCGGGTTTGAGGGAAGAGGGCCTGGGGATTCGGACTCCTGGGTCTGAGGGAGGAGGGGCGGAGGACCTGGGCTCCCGAGTCTGACGGAGGAGGGGCCGTGGGTCTGGCCTCCTGGTCTGAGAGAGGAAGAACTGTAGGCCTGGACTCCTGGGTCAGAGGACGAATGAGAGAGCTAGGAGCCAGGACTCCGGGGACAAGATAGCGAAGGAGGGGACCTGAGGAGGTGGCACTGCGGACACGGACGCCTGGGTCCTGGATTCCCCGTTCAGGTTCCGCATGACACTTCCTTTGCCAGGTGAGATCCCGCCCGGAGGAAGAAGGAAGAAGGCGCGGGCCGGGGACTAGGAGGCGGAGGAGGATTCCGAGCCTGGGAGAGAGGGGACCCAGCGAGAGAGGGTTCCCAGTGGAGCCGAAGCCTGAGTGCGCGCCTGTCTCGCTCGGCGAGGACCACGAGGTAAGGGGCAGTGGCTGGCAGAGGTCCAGTCCGGAGGAAAGTGGGACAGACGGCCAAAGAGACGGCGCCCGCTGAAGTCTCGGCCGCAGCCACGTGGCCTCAGGAAGCACACAGTGAAGCCCTAAGGAGGCCGGTGGGTTTTTCAGTCCGGGGTCCCCGGCCCCACCTCAGCCCACACGCTTCCCTGCCTTTCTCCTGCGTCTGAGAACCAGTCGGGCCAGATTTGGAGCGGGTTGTTATTTCCGTGCTGGCGGGTCTGGGTCTGAGAGAGGACAGAGGTGAACCAGCTGTGCCCGCCACCCCTTGCAGCTGGAGCCGTGGCCCTATCCAGGCAGGAAAGAGAGAGGGTGGACGGAGGCTTAGGGAGTGCGTGGAGTTGGGTGACGGGTGGTCCCATGTCTGTGCCTGGCTTTCTGCTGTTTCATGTTGGTCACAAACAACAGCCCCTCTGTACTGAAACTTGGCCACGTGAGAAACTTTTTCTGAGCATGACCTCATTGCATCAAGCACAACAATCCTGCTAGTGGGAGATTAGAGTCTTCTATTTAAGAGGACAACCCAGGCTTGGAGAAGTGGAGTGAATGACTTGACCAAGTTCTCAGAGCTACGGAGAAAAGGTGACATCATTCAAAAAACAATTTCTAACTTATTGTTCTGGAATGGAAAAGAAAAGAGGAAAAGAAAAACTGAAAACAGTCAAAGATGTAAGGAAATCTCTGGCTTTATTTCAAATCAAAACATTATTTTTTCCTAGGGCTGCACACCCACCCTCTCCTCTGGGGGGGCTATAAGCAATATAAGATTCTTAGACTGTAGAGTTCATCTGCCTGCGTTCCAAATCCTGTTCCTAACAATTGCCTCTGTGTGACCCAGGGCAAATTAATTAACCTCTCTGTGTCAGCCATTACTCATCTGTAAAATGGGCTCAATTTCCCCTTCATTGGGTTGTTCTGAGGATTAAATGAGTTAGTTCATGTTAGTGAAGCACTTAGACCAGTACTTGGCCTAGAATAAGCGCTTGGGGAATAAAAGTTCAACATCTTGAGTATACTTTATGACATCCCCTAAAAAACAGAAGTTCTTTTACTTTTCCTTTTTTTCCACTTGTATTTGGTCCAGACAGAAATTCTGCCTCCTGTTTTTCGGAAGAGTAAATTGAGGCTTAGGTTGAGGAAACCAGTCGAGGTCCCACAAAAAGGAAATGGCAAAATTCGAGCCCAGGTGTGTTTGATGTCAGAAACCAAGATTTTTTTTTTTTAAAGATGACCAGTAAGGGGATCTTATCCCTTGACTTGTCAGCACCATGCTCTCCCGAGTGAGCCACGGGCCGGCCCCAGAAACCAAGATTTTAATGGACTGCCAGGTGCTGGAAAAAATGGCAGCAACGTCTGCCTGGTAGGGCAATGGAGGGATGGAATATGGATCCAAGCTCGGGGCTAGGCAGGGAAAAGAAACAGTAGCTAAGAACTGTCACGGAGGGGTGAGTTCAAGAGGCATCAAGCACTGGTAGGGCAATGGAGGGATGGAATATGGATCCAAGCTCGGGGCTAGCCAGGGAAAAGAAACAGTAGCTAAGAACTGTCACGGAGGGGTGAGTTCAAGAGGCATCAAGCAGTGGAAGAAGCTGACTCTGGACTGTAGAGTCCCATGGAGCTGGCTTTGTGATTTGGGGCAAGTCATATACGCTGAGTGTCTGTTTCCTTCTCAGGGACATGGGAGAATGCTCCAAGGTGGGACTCCATTGATTTATTAACCATTTACTATGTTCTGGGTACTGTGCTAAAACTTTTGTGGGCAAATCTCACCAATTATTACAAAAAGACTATGAAATATATTAGTATCATTTCATTTTTGAGATGAGGAAGTGAGGTCAGAAAGGTTAAGTAACTTGCCCAGAGCCACACAGCAATCAGCACAGCGAAATCCAAACCTGGGCAGTTGGCTTTCTGAATGGTACTTTTATTCACCTCTAACTCACTGCAGGGCAAGTGCTAAGATAATGGACACTGCTAACACCCAGAGATGATTTTTATTTTAAAATGTGGATTGAGATTCATTAATGAGCTGAGGTCAGCATTTAGAAATAAAATAGATTAGAATTGAAAATATCAAAGTACCTACCATGTTGTATGGGTAAGTTTTGTTTCATAATTTTTTTTTTTTTTCCATTATGTGGGAGGAAGGAGTGGTGATTGTGTGCTGGGTTACAATAACAGTATATTTATTCATCTAGGTTGAGCTTAGAGAATTTTGATAAACACTGCAGAGATAGTATATCAAGACTTGTTTTCCCAGAGAAATAAATGTAGTGCGTGTGTGTGTGTGTGTGTGTGTGTGTGTAGGGTGGAAAGCTGTCCTCAGAATACATCCATCTACAATTATTTTAAATCCTTTTGACTTTAATTTTTCTCCACATTATCATCAATACTTCCCAGGGTGCTGGTTACTAGAAGAATAATGCTGGCTGGTTTGCCTTCCTCATAGTGTTTTATCAAATCTAATTTTTGTTCCAGTTATTGTTTGGGGACACATTTTCCCCCCAACACTAGCACTAACAATTGGCTGACACTATTACAAATATAGTTTTCTTTGACTTAGCTTTTCTATGTGCCCTGCACGAAAGGTAATGTTATTTTCTCCATTTTACATGTAGGAAAATGGAGAGATTAAGTAATGTATCACAATTCATAGTTGGCAAAGAGACTTCGATGGAAAAAGGAAAGGGTTTCCATTTTAATAACAGTGACTGTTGAAACAAAAGCAAAAGATCATCAAAGTCCCTCCCAGAAGTTCCATAGAAAACAGCCAAGTTCCAGGATATGGGCAATGGCTGGCTGCATTTTTATTTACTATAGAATCTGGTGCAGCCATGCAGCAATTGCACACCTGATTTACAACTTACAAGCTGCCAGCTTCACATTTGTCATTCTTGCCATTTTTTAACATAGGGGAATTTGCATTATTATTATTATTTTACAAAATATGAGACATCATATTGTTAGGTCACAGTCTTTCAAAATTAGATCATTCAAATTACAAAATGCTGTGCAAATATGCAGATCCCCAGCCCCACTCTAAACCACCTGAATTAGTCTTCAGGCAGGTCTGTATTATGACTCTTTGCACCCTAGGCAAAGCCTTCTTGGGTGCTCCGTGTGTGTGATGGAACCTAGGTACTGTGCCTGCTTGGCCTAATGGATAAGGTCTTCCCTGCCTTCAGGGAAGGCGCCTGGGAATTTCCATCTTTGACAGGCTGGAGTTTTGGGGAAGCATCCTGAAGGGTTTGTGAAGCACCTCCCTTGTTCCCTGACCTATAGGAAGGCTCAAATATTAGTTCTTAGGAGGATCAGCATACCGTGGTGGTTTGAAGTCAGGCAAACCTAGATCTGAATCTGAGATTACAGTCCAGCAGCTGTGACCTTGGGCCTCTCAGAGCCTGTTTCCCCACCTGTAAAATGGGAATAATCAGCCCACCGTCGTCCTGTCTTTATCCGAAACATCCTTTGAGATAACCGCATGACTGGTTAGGCCCAGTGTTGAGAATACAGTATCGGGAGCTCCCAGGGTGGAGGCAGCGCTGACCCACCCGTGTCCCTCATAGATGCCGGTGCTGAAGCAGCTGGGCCCGGCGCAGCCCAAGAAGCGTCCGGAACGCGGCGCCCTGTCCATCTCTGCGCCCCTCGGCGATTTTCGACACACGCTGCACGTGGGGCGCGGCGGAGACGCCTTCGGGGACACCTCGTTCCTGAGCCGTCACG